CCCGCCTCTGCGCCTCCCTCCCGCCTCTGCGCCTCCCTCCCGCCTCTGCAGTGGGGCTGTGTGCTGGGCTCCGTGCACCTGGAAAATAAACTCCAGCTGTGCCACAGGCCCCTTGTCTATGATACCTGCAGGACAGGTGCTATTGCTCAACCTTCCTATTGGAGCAACAAGTTCCAGGTGTTATTGCTACCACTGAGGACCAGGACGACCAAGCCAAGTTTGGGTCTTGCTGAAAAACTATTGGGAGGGCCCCCAATGAGGACTGAGTGGCTAGATACCTTTATGTGGATTTTGTTTTTGAGGCAGGCACAACCTAGTTGGCCCAGGTCTCCTGTGGTCCACAGGGCCAGTGGCTTTTACTTTCTCCATGCCTTGCATGCCCCCCACCTCCTTTTCAGCCTGTGAGGCCACAGCGGGGTACAGTCTTTCCCACTCTATATGAGTCCGTTTCCGCACTGCTAAGTTATAAAGAAGAGAGGTTTAATTGACTCACAGTTCTGCATGGCTGGGGAGGCCTCAGGAAACTTTTAATAGCCGCAGAAGGCAAGAGGGAAGCGGACGACTCCTTCAGCAGGCAGCAGGACAGGCGTCTGAGAACGAGGAAGTGCCACACTTTAAAACCACCAGTTCTCGTGAGAACTCACTATCACGAGAACAGCATGGGGGAAACCACCGCCATGCTCCAAGCAGCTCCACCTGGTCCCTCCCTTGACACGGTGGGGATTATAAATCGAGATGAGATTTGAGTGAGAACCCAGGGCCAAACCATATCACTTTCCAAGCCTGCCCTCCAAGGAGCCCCAGAGGAACCTGGGGCTGTGGGGGCAGCCCCGGGGCTTGCATGCCTAGACCCTGCCCTGCTGCCCCAAGGGTTGAGCGATTAGTATCTCAAGGCATACCTGCAAGCCGGGTGCAGCCTACTGCCTGACCCTGTGAAGGGTCTGAGATTTTACCCTGCTTGCAAGCTAATGACCTAGCCTGCCACAGCTTCATGGATGCTGGCAGACTGACTCCTGGGTCAAAGGAAAGGGACTGTATAACTCTGCGAATTCCATTTGTCCCCCCAAGTACCCCAAGGAGGTGATGAGTGACAACCCAAGTTATGATGTATGGTCTGTATTATAGCCAAGGAACTCCAAGCTTAGGAAACCCCTTGAGTTATAAGATGGACTGCTGGACCAACCAACTCATCCAACCTTTGTCCTGCAGGCAGACAATGACGTTTATTATCAAAGTCAGGAAAGAAATTTGTCCTCTGCCTAGACAAGCATCCTTGAACGTCTTCAGCTACTGTAAAATTTCCATGGAGAATTGCCCAACACATACCAGTCTAGTATCCCCTGTGGCACCTGGCTGGTAAACCCAGTTTATCAACATCAGAGTGAGTGAGTGCCCTAGGGAGAAAGAGAGGACTGATTTTCACGTGAGCTGACTGACCTCCACAAGGTGTGAAGGTTGAGGAGCCCAGCCACACTTCCCCAGGCTTGTAGACAGGACCAGCACGCAGCTCGGTGTGGTCTGGAGCCTGCTGGCCACATGTGTCATGAGATGCTAAGCTGGCAAATATTTTATAAATTGACACCAATGAACAAAAGAGACTAACTTCAATAATGATTGTGAGCTTTTATAGTGACTTTGAAAATTTCAGAACTATTCATATTTTAATGTAGTCCTGGGCCATAGCCACAGAAAGACTGAGGTGCTCTAACGCATTCCCCACAAGCTGGGCATGATTTTCACTCAAGAGTAGTGAAAAACAAGTGACCTTGTCAGCTCCTAACACGGAAGGGTGTCTACTCCCTATGGAAACATTAATAATTGACACAGAACAAGTACAAGGCAGTGACACAGTGGTGTCCAGGCTTGGCACGGTGGCCTGGTCCACACCAGCAGAAGTGTGGGTCTCAGAGGACAGAGCTGTTTCTCAATCCTACTTGGAAAGTTAAGAATTCCGGTGTTGGCCGGGCGCGGTGGCTCACGCCTGTAATCCCAGCACTTTGGGAGGCCGAGGCGGGTGGATCACGAGGTCAAGAGATCGAGACCATCCTGGTCAACACGGTGAAACCCCGTCTCT